ATTCTGACTCATGGTGACCATATAGGAAAGAGTAGAACTGCCTCATAGGGCTTCCAAGGAGTGGATAGAGGATTTGAACTGCCGACCTTTTGGTTAGCAGCTGGACTCTTAACCATGGCACCACCAGGTCTCCACTTTTAGTGTAAGAACTGAAACCATAAAACTCTTTGAACAAACATAAGAGTAATGCTTCCAGATCTACTAAAATAATATATAATATAAAAGTAATATATAATTACTGAAAGTAATATATAATATCCGTAAATCCATTGTTGAAAACTAGATCTAGATTGTGCATTTTGAATTGGACAAATACCTGGTCTACTATGCTGGGAGTGACAACTCGAAGAGGAATGGCATTGCATTCATCATCAAAAAGAACACTTCAAGATGTATCCTGAAGTACGACGCTGTCAGTGATAGGATAATATCCATATGCCTACAAGGAAGACCAGTTAATACGACTATTATTCAAATTTACACAACAACCACTAAGGCCAAAGATGAAGACATTGAAGATTTTTACCAGCTTCTGCAGTCTGAAATTGATTGAACATGCAATCAGGATGCATTGATAATTACTGGTGATTGGAATGTAAAAGTTGGAAACAAAGAAGGATCGGTCGTTGGAAAATATGGCCTTGGTGATATAAACAATGCTGGAGATCACATGATAGAATTTTGCAAGACCGATGACTTCTTTATTGCAGATACCTTTTTCCACCAACATAAACAGCGACTATACACGTGGACCTTGCCAGATGGAATACACGGGAATCAAATTGACTACATCTGTGGAAAGAGATGATGGAAAAGCTCAGTATCATCAATCAGAACAAGGCCAGGGGCCAACTGTGGAACAGACCATCAATTGCTTATATGCAAGTTCAAGTTGAAACTGAAGAAAATGAGAATAAGTCCACGAGAGCCAAAGTACGACCTTGAGTATATCTCACCTGAATTTAGAGATTATCTCAAGAATAGATCTGACACGTTGAACACTAATGACTGAAGACCAGACGAGTTTGGAATGACATCAAGGGCATCATACATGAAGAAAGCAAAAGGTCATTAAAAAGACAGGAAAGAAAGAAAAGACCAAAATGGATGTTAGAAGAGACTCTGAAACTTGCTCTTGAACATCGAGTAGCTAAAGCAAAAGGAAGAAACGATGAAGTAAAAGAACTGAACAGATTTCAAAAGGTGTCTTGAGAAGACAAAGAAAGTATTATAATGATATGTGCAAAGAGCTGGCGATAGAAAACCAAAAGCGAAGAACATGCTCGGCATTCCTGAAGCTGAAAGAACGAAGAAAAAATTCAGGCCTCGAGTTGCTATAGTGAAGGATTCTATGGGGAAAATATTAAACGATACAGGAAGCATCAAAAGAAAATGGAAGGAATACACAGAGTCATTGTACCGAAAAGAATTAGTCAGCGTTCAACCATTTCAAGAGGTAGCACATGATCAGGAACCGATGGTACTGAAGGAAGAAATCCAAGCTGTACTGAAGGCATTAGCGAAAACAAGGCTTCAGGAATTGACGGAATATTAACTGAGATGTTTCAACAAACGGAAGCTGCACTGGAAGTGCCCACTCGTCTATGCCAAGAAACTTGAAAGACAGCTACTTGGCCAACTGACTGGAAGAGTTACTGTTTATGCCTATTCCCAAGAAAGGTGATCCAACCGAATGTGGAAACTATCGAACAATATCATGAATATCACATGCAAGTAAAATTTTGCTGAAGATCATTCAAAAGCAGCTGCAGCAGTGTGTCGACAGGATACTTCCAGAAATTCAGGCTGGATTCAGAAGAGGATGTGGAACCAGGTATATCATTGCTGATATTAGATGGATCCTGGCTGAAAGCAGAGAATACCAGAAAGATGTTTACCTGTATTTTATTGACTCTACAAAGGCATTCGACTGTGGATCATAACAAATTATGGATAACATTGCAAAAAATGGAAATTCCAGAACACTTAATTGTGGTCATGAGGAACCTGTACGTAGATCAAGAGGCAGTTGTTTGGACAGAACAAGGGGATACCGTGTGGTTTAAAGTCAGGAAAGGTGTGTGTCAGGGTTGTATGCTTTCACCATACCTATTCAATCTGTATGCTGAGCAAATAATCCAAGAAGCTGGACTATATGAAGAAGAACGGGGCATCAGGATTGGAGGAAGACTCATTAACAACTTGCATTATGCAGATGATACAACCTTGCTTGCTGAAAGTGAAGAGGACTTGAAGCACTTACTGATCAAAGATCACAGCCTTCAGTATGGATTAAACCACAACGTAAAGAAAGCAAAAATCTTCACAACTGGACCAATAAGCAATATCATGATAAACAGAGAAAAGATTGAAGTTGTTAAGGATTTCATTTTACTTGGATCCACAATCAAGACTCATGGGAACAGCAGTCAAGACATCAAAAGATGCATTGCATTGGTCAAATCTGCTGCAAAAGACCTCTTTAAAAGTGTTGAAAAGCAAAGATGTCACCTTGAAGACTTTATCAGTTGTCGAGGCTTCCATGGATCAATTTTTTGTCACTTTGTATTGTTCTTTTGACTGGACCATCCGTTTCTGTTTTCTTTGTATGCCTTGTGATTTTTCATTGAAACTGGGACACTTGAATATTATAATGTAGTAACTCTGGAACTCAGGTATTTCCCCTTCCCCAGAGATTGCAGTTTTTTAATTAATTATTTTTAATTGTTGAAGGCTGTAATAGACCATCTGCTCATCAACCTCCCCTAACTACTTTTGCAAAGACTGTCTTCCAAAATGTGCATGGACCCTGGAGATTCCTTTTGGAGCCCATGCCCAAGTAGTGGTTCAAGGGAGATTTCCTTGTAGTCCAGGGAAGAAACAAATAGCAGAAAGCAGAAAATATCTAATTGTTCTACTGCTCAGTTATTGCTGTTATTACTTAATGATAGCTACAGTCAACTGTTTGTTTAATGACATTTCCAAGCTAATTTTTAGAAGGTGTGTATTCTGATTCTGTTATCTCTGCCGTCAGTGAGTGGCTTGATATTTCATCAGAGGGTGCTCTAGACCTTTGAATCTGCTGGCAAGGTGCAATGTTTCTAGGAGAGGGCCAAAGTTGCTGTAAAGGTCTGCACCCATTCCTCAGGGCACTGCCAGACCAGCCCAACTGTGCACACTGTAACCCCAAATTATTGGAGGTCAAGATTCCCACTGTCTGCTTTGACACCAGCCAACTGCTCTAGGAACATAGGCCACTGATTCCACCACCCTTGGAGGGACTGAGGAATGGGGGATGGTAGCCAGTTGGTGCACATAGTTCACCTAGAAGTGGTCAGCAGCTTGTCCCTTCATCAAGTACTCCCCTGACTGAATTAAGTGTCTGATCCAGTTCCAGAGTTCCAGTTAATTCCAGTTGCTCTTTCCAGTGCTATTGTTATTTGGGAGGTGGGATGGACCTCTAGAACTACCTACTTTGCCATTTTGCATAATTACATGCTGCTATTGAAAGTTCTGAATTCCATAAGATACTTTCACACCAGCCTGTCTCCTTCAGCCCTTAGAAGCCAAATATATGCTTCGGCATGCTTCAGTCATGCTAATTAGTCCTATATGATTAAATGTGGGCACTGCCTATGGGTTTTGTTTGGTGCATTCTTTCCCCCAGTCCCATGGGAGTGCAGCTGCATCTAAACTAGGGAGATTGCCCCCTCAGTCCTTCAGGAAGCCCCCAGACAGACAAAAATAGACAAATCTGTCCACTGGCAAAAGCGAAGTCCAGTCCACAAACTTCTGTGCCAGAGAGCGTGCCCCTGTCTGGGTGTGCGGTTTGTGGTTTTCCATGGCAGCGACAGCCTCTGCCACAGTGCCACTGCCATGGAGGCAAGGAAGGGGTAGAGCATCTATGGTAGAAGAAAAAAATGGAAAAATTCCTATCGTTTGAGAGCACGATTTTTCTTAATTCAGTGTTTGCTTAAATGCTGTAATTCTTTGACTGATTTCCAGAGTTCTGAGATGGTAAATTCACCTACTTTTGCTTGATGTTTTCTATTTTCATTGTGGGGGGATGGGAGCATGCAGCCGTTTATGCCACCATCTTGCCTCAGCTTCACCATAGGTGGTATGTCAAGTGCCTTCTGCACTGCTTGGCACATAGTATTTATTCATTCATTTATTCCACAAATGTCTATTTAGTGCCTAATAAAGGGCAGGTACTGTTATAGGCACTAGAGTTGCAACAGGATTATGGCAGGCAAGGTCCCTAATCTCATGGAATTTAGATTCTAGAGCCGTTCTGCTCAATAGACCTTTCTGTGATAATGGAAATATTCTTCACTGCACTGTCCAATATAGTAACCACTAGCCACATGTGCTTGTTGAGCACTTTAAATGTGGCTAGAGCAATTACAGAGCTTAATTTTAAAATGTATTTGTTTTTAATTAGTTTAAATTGCCACATATGCCTAGTGGCTACCATATTGGACAGTGAACTACTAGAGGATTAAGGCAGTGGAGACACATGATAAACAAGTAGATAACTAAAGGTACAAAATTATTTTAGATGGTGTCAAAAACTGAGAAGGATAAAGCAGGGTGATGAAATAGTAACCAGGAGAATATTTTAAGTAGAGTCATTCTAGTTTAATCCAAAAAAACCAAACCTATTGCCGTGGAGTTGATTCCAACTCACAGCGACTCTATAGGACAGAGTAGAACTTCCCTATAGGGTTTCCAAGGAGTGCCTGCTGGATTTGAACTGCCAGCCTTTTGGTTAGCAGCTGTAGCACTACGCCACCAGGGTTTCCTCTAGTTTAATAGGCATCAGTAAATGTAGAAAAAATAAATTATGAAGACTAATTTTTTTTTTTTAACTTTGCTACTTAGTACTTTGGTTTGGGATTTCTTCTTTAGAGATCTAGTGGCTTCCTTTCTGGAAAACAAACACCAAAATAAACTCATATTTCCATCATTTTATTAACTTTGAACATTTTTTTCCCCAGCCCTGAATTGTCATCTCCAGTTCCTGTGGAAGATACCTCAACATTGGGAGGTATGTTTTTGTGCTTTTACTCGCTTTACTTGTTAAATTATTTATGGCTTAAGACAATCTTGCAAGCAAGCAAACACATTTTACAGCTCACATTTTAAGAATATCAAGTTTCTTCTTATATGTTGTTCAAGAGTCTCAAGGAAAAGCAATTCCTCTTTTTCACTAGTCTAAGCATACATATTTTATGTGGGTACCTAAAACTTTTATTGTTAAACATAATACAAGTACAGAAAACTGCTTAAAACAAATATACAACCTAGTGAATTATTTTAAGGCAAACACCCTGTAACCACTGCTTATGTCAAAAGGTAGAACCTTTCTAGCTCCACCAGACACCCTCTACATGCCTCCTTCCAAACACAATGCTCCCCATCCCCTTAAGAGTACCACTATCCTCACTTTTATAGTAGTTATCTTTATATGTTTTAAAAATAGTTTTATCACCCACTATGGAAACCCTGGTGGTGCAGTGGTTAAGTGTTTGGCTGCTAACCAAAATGTCAGCAGTTCGAATTTACCAGGCACTCCTTGGAAACCCTACAGGGCAGTTCTACTCTGTCCTATAGGGTCGCTATAAGTCACAATCGACTCAGTGGCAATGGATTTGGTTTTTTGGGTTTACACGTGTATTACTAAATATTATAGCTTAGTTTTGCCTGTTTTATTTTTTAATATGTTTTTAAGTCTTCATTAAAAAAAAAAAACAATCAAACTATATCTTGCTTCTATACTTCTTGTTTTTCCTCTTGGAATTAATTTGTTGAAGAAAGCAGACCATTAGTCCTATAGAGTTTCCAGAGTAAGGATATTGCTGATTGCATTCTCATGGTGTTTAACATGTTCGTTTGACCTCTATATTTTCTGTAAATTGGTAGTTGCATTCTTTAAAAAAAAAATTTTCAACACTTCTCTTTATAGGTAATTTTAAACATATACAAAAACAGTCAGAATAGCATAATGAGACCCCAGCTTCAACAATTATCAATTTATGGTCAATTTCATTTAATTTATACCTTCCCCTTTCTAGTAGAGTTACTAATTTCAATATTTGTCCCCTTTACTATGCAGTGAGCTCCTTGAGGTTAAGAACTTTGTCTCTGTTTCCATAGCACCTTTCAGATGCTGGCATATAGTAACTGCTTAATAAATGTTTTTTGAATGACTGTATGAATGAGCCATAATTACCTCTTTTTCTCAGAAGACTCTATGTAACTCTGTCTTGCAGTAAGAATGCACAGAATTTTCAAGAGAAAAAGGCAAATGGCTTGTGGGGGTAATTTTGAAGTCAGTTGCTTATTTCCTGATATGAACTCTGAATTAGTCAGGGACTGAATTCATACACATTTTTGTTTTTCTACTTAGGTGCTGCTTTCAGTGTTCCATATCCAGGATTGGCTTCCTATGACGGTGTCTCAGAGAGCAGCCTGGAGAGGCTTGAGGAGAGTGTGAGTGATGTTCTGTTTTGCTATTTCAGTGTCTAACATGGAGAGCAGGGATTAAGAGAGGGTTTATGTTCCATTGCCAGATTGCAGAGGACTTCGTGTGGTGCCTTGTTAATGAAAATGTGGATTCCGAAACCAGTACATAAAAAAGAATCTGAGATCCCTCGGTGAGCTGAGTAAATCTGTTTTTACTGATGAGTTCTTGGTGAGGGAGGGCTACGGAGCTATCATTATGGTCAGCTCACATGCCTCTTGTGGGCTCTGTGACATGATTTACTATGGAGTTTTCTTTTTGCCTATGTTTTTCTAACCCTTAATAGATCAAGATGTAATCTTCTCTTCTTCAGATGGAAAGGATATAGATTTTATGTAGTTTAAAAATCATGAAGTACTATGCTTCTTTACTGCATCATTATTAATAGGAACCTATCTACTAAACAAGGAGTCCTGGTGGCACAGTGAGTAAGTGCTTGTCTGCTAACTGAAAGGTCGGCGGTTCGAACTCAACAGCCACTCCGCGGGAGGAAAGATCTGATGATCTGCTCCCTTAAAGATTACAGCCTAGGAAACCCTATGGGGGCATTTCTACTTTGTCATATAGGGTCATTATGAGTCAGAATTGACTTAACAGCACACAACAATGACATCATCCACATTAAACAGCATTAAATCTTAAAGCTGAGTCTCTATGACATTCAGATTAAAAGAAAGTACGTGCTCCCCAGGAAAATAGATACATATTGTTAGAAAGCTTGTTAAATTCCAAATTTTTTAAATTTGGGGTTCATAAATCCTATCTTATTTAATAAAGAGAAAACCCTGATTCAACATATTTCCTAGAGAGATAAAATTTAGTTACCTTGCACTTTCCTTTCCAACTTGAACATTTTAATTGATGCAAAATCAGGTTAAAGTCACTCCACTCTGCCCCACCACCCTCCCTGTCACTGAACAAGACTGGTGATAGCTTGGGATCCCTACAGAGGATGGCTGAATCGGTACTTTTACTCTCAGTAAAACTGTGTACAAAGCAAATGGTGCTAAGAAAATATTAGCGTTCACTAAATAATTGTTAATGAATGAGTAAAAAGTAACACTGTAGTCCTGAACTTGAAGGCAGAATAGCCATGACTTGGGTCTGGAGACATTTATAGAATGAGATAGAGTTCACTGTAATAACAATGAAGGAATTCTATGCAATCAGTTGGAACATTAACACCAAAAATAGAAAGGATGATTTGAAGCCTATTTATAGAATCAATAGGAAAACAAAACAGTTATAGAGTTACCTAACAGGAATTAGATTCCTGTATCTAGCTCAAAATGATGCTCACGATACAGTTTCACATTTTACTTTTTTTCCTACTTCCATCTACTGTTTAGGTGACCATGTATTTCTGTTTTTTTTTTTTTTTTTGTAATCACTCTGTAAGTTATAATGCATATTTGACTTCGCAAAATTTCAAGTTGTGCAAAATCTTTATCCTTATCCTGAATAATACAGGTACCTTAGAACATCACAATTCAAATTACTACCCTGTTTGTTGACTTATATGCTATTTTAAAGTATTTTCTTTTTCACTCTCTCTTTTAGTTCTCTGTACAAATTAAACTATCATATTTGTTGTATACCATTAAATTTGTTTTATATTTACCCAAATGTTTACCATTTTATTATCTTATAATTTTTTTTTTCATTTTAGACCTTTCTTCTGGGATAATATTTCTCCTGATGTTTCCTTAGTAAGAGTCTCTTACTGGTTCAATCTGAGTTATTGATAAAAATTTATTTGTCCTTATTCTGGAAAGATATATTTAATTAGTATTCAATCTGGGCTGAGAGTTATGTTTTCTTTGTCTTTGGTTTTAGTTCACTATCTTCTGACTTCTATGTTGTTACTGAGAACTCAACTTTCAGTCTGATTGTTATTCCATTGTGGATTATCTGGCTGTTTTCTTTAGCTGCTTTTGAGATTTTTTTTTCCCCTTTGGATTTGGGGTTTGGCAGTTTCACAAAAATGAGTATAAGTGTGGATTTATGTTTATTTATTTTGCTTTGAATTTGTTGTACTTCCTTAATGTTAGGCTTTATGTCTATCATCAATTTTGGAAAATTCTCAGCTGTTGTATCTTATGGTTAAATATATGTTAGACCTTCTCATTTGATCGTTTATGTCTCTTAACCACATGTTCATAATCTTCATTCCATTGTCTCTCTGTGTTACATCCATGTCTGTCTTCCAGTTCGCTAATTCTTCCTTTGACTTAGTCTAATTTGTTTTTCAAACTGTCCATTGAGTTTTAAGAATCCTTGCTTTTATGTAGGAGTTGTTGTTCTAACTCTCCAATGTATATAGGCTTTGCACTTTGTATTTTGTTCCTTCATGGTATTTGGCATTCAATATTGCCTGGTTTACAAGGAGTCAGGGATATACAATGGAAACTGCCACCTTCAACACTGGATCACCTCTCTGGATTCCTGCAACCTATTGTTTCTGGCCTCTTGGGGTTTTCTTTACTTTCTTGCAAACCAGCTATGTGTTAAAGGCATTGAATCTATTCAGCATTTTATCTATTTTGTAGCAGTAGAATTACTCAGGATATTTATTTTATAATATTTTTAGAAATGGGAATTCCACCCAGATTTAGCAAGATGAAATTTAATATGGATAAATGCAAAGTTCTCTAAAAAATTCAGTAAGTACAAGTTTTTATTGATGTTAGTCTCAGTATGAATCAACAGTGTGATGTGGTTACTGCAAAAAACTAGTAAAAGCTAGTATAATTTTAGATTTCATTAATAGAAATATACAATATAATATAAAGAAGGTGGGAGTCCAAACCTTTTTTATTTGCTCAGACCTCACCTGTGGGTGCCACACCCTAAGGAAGACATTAAAGGCTGAGATGTGTGGAGGAATGGAACTAGGAAAAGTCAGGGAAGACATGATAGTTGTGTCTATATATTTGAAGAGCTCTCTGGGAACTACACCTTTTGTATATGTCCCAGGTTACAGAACTGGGACCAGTGGTGAAAGGTACAGGGTGGTAGATTTGGATTTAATATTAAGAACTTTCAAACCATATGAGCTTTTGGAAGTATAATTATTGAAATTTACAAATTCTTTCTCATCAGAATCATTTAAACAGAATGAGCAGTCATTTGTCAGGGATATTATAGAGAGCATTCATGCATCAGAAGGGGTGGTGGGATCTTTGAGGTTCTTTCCCATTCTGAAGTTTTAAAGGTCTCTGATTATATGGATCATATATAAATAGTACAGTGAAAAATATTACAGTGGATGAAAAATAGTACAGTGGGAAAAACAAAACAAAAAAACAAAAACAAAAATTCTGTATTCTATTCCTGACTCTGTCATTGACTTGCTGTGAGACCTCAGGCTAGTCATTCCTCCTATCGAATCCTTGGTTTTCTTAAGTATCAAAATTGAGGGACTTGGATTAGATAAGCTCCAGTGGATCTTGCCTGCAGCAACTATTACTGTAGTGTTCTAGTTGTGATACTGTATTTCCCTTATTCTTTCTACATTTATTAATTGGAATTCTTCTGTAAGGAACTGTTGCCAATTCTCTCTCATTTATTTATTCAGTCATTTATTTATATCGGTATGGATTTATGGATATTTATTTTACTCTTTGGGTTATAATCTAATATTTATTTTGTTGCTCAAATTGTTCCAGCTCTGGCCATTAAAAGACTTGGATTTTAAAGTTACGGAGTATAAAAAGTTTGTTGATATGTTTTCAGGTTTTATTTAGCAACTAACCTTTTAGAAACTACTATTGTTGAGTTATGTAGCATAAAAAAGAATATACATGATTACCAGAAAAGGCTATTAATATACTCCTTCCTTTGATTCATATCTGTGTGGCCAGATTTTCTTCATATACTTCAACAAACACAATATATTGCAGAATCTAGCTCTCTTCTGATAACCCAGACATTAAAGAATTATAAAAAATGTAAACAATGCCACTTTTCATTAATTTTTCTTTTGAAGAATATGTTATTTATTTCACATGTAATAGGTTTATTAATATTATTTAGAACAGCTTTATTGAAATATACTTCACATACCATAAATACACCCTTTTAAAGTGTGCAATTTAGTGGTTATTAGTATATTCTCAGAGTCTTGCAGTCGTCATCACTATCTAATTTTAGAACATTTTCTTCACCCTTCCACAAAATTCCATGTTCATTAGCAGTCCCCTCCCCACCCTCAACCCAAGCCCTTGGCAATCACTAATATACTTTCTAAGGAATTGCTTATTCTGGAAATTTCATATAAATGGAATCATACAATATGTGATCTTTTGTGAATAGCTTCTTTCACTTAGCATAACATTTCCATATTTTGGCATATATCAGTATTTCATTCCTTTTTATTGGTGAATAATATTCCATTGCATTGTTATTGCCCTCTCTCCTTCCATTTCTTTTTCTTATGCTAGAACAGCTCCCTCAAAAAGTTGAAGACATGCCCAACTGACACAAACTGAGTAGGATTGAGAGTTGCTCTCTCTGGTATCAACTTAATTATTTTTTAATTAATTAATAAATATTTCAAAATTTTCTCTTTTTATTTTTTTGTTTGTTTAGGTATCTATAGATATAATCCACATAAACCAAACTTCACTGGATTCCTCATGAATTTTAAGAGTTTAACAGGGTCGTGAGACCAAAAAGTTTGAGAACCATCATTCTAGGCTATCTTTAGGTGATAACTATATAGTACAGTCAACTCTTGTTTACTCACTTGCATATGGACAGTTTTCTGTGGATAAGTTTCTACTTTCCGTAGAGCCAGTCAGAATGCCTATTTTAATATTAGTCTATGCCTTAAAGTCCACCCACTTTGTTGCAAAGTGAAATACTATATAAAAGTCATCATCAGAAGTTACCTTTGACACATTGTCTGGCACGTAGAAAGCAGTCAATAAATATTTGTTGATTGAATGAATAAACATTGCCATTTTATTATTTTTTTGTCTGACATCCAGATTAGCAACGAGATTGAGAACGTGGTAGAGGAACCCACCAAACCGGCAGCTGAGCAGATTGCAGAATTCAGCATCCACCTCTTGGGGAAGCAGTACAGGGAAGAACTGCAAGATCCCTCCAGCTCCCACTACCAGCACCTTGTAGAAGAGTTTATTTCAGAGGTGGGTAGTATTTTTTCGGTCTGTTTTTGTTGTTCTTTTGATAAATAAGACAGTTTGCTGGGGTTGTAATTTTCCCATATTTGCAACACTGGTTAAAGGCAGAGTTGGGATTCAAGCTCTCCATCTACTTGGTTCTTGGTGAAGACTTAGTACTTAGCCATTTCTTCAGAAAGCTCTGTGAGAAATTCATAGAAAGACAGAACAAAATATTACACTCATTTGCCATCTGCTAACAAGTAAGTGCTGTTTTCAAATTGTGCTGCACAGCAGTGGAAGGATGTGTTTTTCTATGTCATGGTTTTAACTTGACAATATTTGGAGAAATATGCATCTTTGAGAAACTGCGTACAGTGTGGTTTCTTTTGCTTGAGGGAACAATAAATTTAATGTTTAGTATTCTGTTTTTTAATTGAAAAAATTTCAAGTAGTAACGTATAGGAGTACATTCATGTGGTACAAAGTTCAAAAGCACAAAAGGGGACCCAGTGAATAGTAAAATTCCCTCCTATCTTTGTTCTCTTGTTGGAGGTGTTTTTAAAAGGATTTCTTTAAAGTACTTGGATTAGACCTACCCAAAGCTTTACCTTCTGGAAGAATTCTGTATAGCACTTGAACTCAAGATTTTTTAGTCAACAGTGACCCATGATTATCCTCTATCTTGTGTGCCTTTGCTCTTGGGTGGTAAGGCATTGAGTACTCATCTCTCCCTCTCTGTCCAATGACAGGCACACTATTCCTTCCTGTTTATTTCTTTTCCATTCCCTCTCTATGGGGTTCTCCTTGGCCAAGTTTGTTAATTCCATTACCTTGGACTAATTTCCTTCAATAGACACTGTGTCCAAATGGGAGACAAAAATGTACATCTCTCAGCCAAATGGCATCATTGCAGCCATTAAACCTGGGGATTCTAGGCTGGACAGTTAATTTTCCTTGCTGTGTGGCCAAGTTGCAAAGCTGTATGGTATGTGGAAGAAATGTCAGCCAAGCCAGTGGCTACCTGGCTTCGTAGTGTCTTGGATTGGCTGTCTGGTTCTCTCTTAACGAAACTTTATTAAGCCTTAGTATTTGGATAAACAATTGCACTGAATGACTACAGATTTAGAGAAAAACATCTCCAGCAGGGACTTTATGAGGTAGGTTGCTGTTGGCTTGAGGTGATCCAAGGATGATGAAGGGCCTGGGCCTCTCATGAAAATCTTCTCTGGCCTATTTCTACATTCCTGTCCCCTTAACTGAGATGAAATATCTACCAATAGCCACTTCTTTGTGTGGAACAGCAGAGACAGAGGTCGTATCTCTGAAGGCCCCTGTCATCATATCTACTGTGAATTGAAGGGAGCCCTTCAGCTCTCTCCCTTCAGAGCATAGTCACCCAGATTGTTACCTCAGCTTCTCTAGGTAATATTGAAAGACACACAGGGAGAAAGCAAACATGCTCAGAGAAGATGAGGTTCACGAACTGTTTCTCTCCCAATAAGGTAAGAGGAGGAGGGGACATGATAGTCATGGGACAACACAAAGTATGACATCAGAGAGGGAAAGAACAGACTTGGGAGTGTCACTGACATAGTGCTGAAGGATACTCACAGTATTAACACAGTTTCCTTGTATAGTGCTTTATGCTTTACAGGCTGTTTTCTATCTGTTTGCTCACAGCAGCCATGTAGAGGAGTATCTCCATTTTACAGATGAGGAAGCTGAGGCTCAGGGAGGTCAAGTAACTTCTTCATGGTCATTTCAGCCTCTCTTGAGTAGAAGGGAAAATCCAGGAACAGATTACCCAATAAGCCAGGTATGCATGGGCTTACTTGCGCTTACTAATCTCTAGTGCACAATTTCCTGTTTTTCACCACATCAAGGATGCAGTGAAACCCATGTGAAATTGTGTACTACAGATTAGTAAGTAAACACAAGTAAAACTGTGAGTACCTTGCTTACTGGTTGATCCACCCCTGGGAAAATCAAATCATCTTCCTTTTCAAAGTGCTCCTTCCTTTATACCATACAGAATCCCCTTCATTTTAACTCAGGGAGTTTTTAATTTACAGTTTTTGAAGTTCTGGTCCCAATTATAAAATATATTTATCATGAGGGAGGGGAAATAGGAAGAAATGACATAATTCAGTGGGAAGAATATGGGCTTTGAGGTTAGAGAGATTTGGAGTTAAATAAATTCTTAGTCACTTACCAAATGTGTCATCCTGGTGAGTTAGTTGACATCTTAGAGTCTCAGTTTTCTCATTTATAAAATTAAGATAATATGCGCCTCTCAGAATTGTTGCAAGAATTATAAATAATATTTGCAAAGCACCAGGCACATAGCAGTCCAGTAAATTGTAGCTATCAGTAATATTAATGTTGGTTAATAAAACAGAATGACTCTTCCCCCAAATAGACACTTGTATAATAGCTAGCTGGATGTGATGAATTAGAATACTTGTACGTGGATTCAAGAGATGGTAGAAGTTCAGGCAGGAAATGGGCTTAGTGATCATAATAATATACAGTTGCACAGCATTTTGTGGTTTATAGTGTGCTTTCAGATATATTATTTTCTAATCTTAACAAAAATCACATGTGATAGGTGGGGAGGGCAGTAGTTGCTCTATAAATGAAGACTTGTGTATGGTCCCTCTGCTAGCAAAAACAGCAGAGCTGGGACTAACTCTCAGTCTTCTTTTTCCTAGTCCTGAAGATTCTACCTCTACCCCTGTCTTACAAGAATTTTGTTGTTGTCGTTACGTGCTGTCAAGTCGATCCTGACTCATGGTAACCCTATAGGACAGAGTAGAACTGCCCCATATGGTTTCCAAGACTGTAATCTTTACTGCAGCAGATCACCAGGTCTTTTCTTCCATGGAGCCATGGGTGGGTTCTAACCGCCAACGTTTAGGTTAGCAGATGAGCACTTAACCACTGCACCAGCAGGGCTTCTTACAATAATTATAGTACTTCTCTTTTTCCTCAGAGAATAAAACAAAGCAAAATTATTATTGCAAAAAGTTTCATGGGTTTGGATTCTTTATTCTTAAGATGTGGAGATCTTCCCTGAAATAAGATTTAAAAAAAATTCCACTCTCTTGATTGTCTGAGGGCTTGGTTAAAAGTAGATGCCCAATTCCTGGAGGTGGGGCCAAGATGGTGTAGTAGTCAGACACTTTCGGTGGACCCTCTTACAACAAAACCCCCAAAAAACAAGTGATTCAATTATATATGGCAATCTGGGAGCCCTGAACATCAAAGGCAGAGTTGAGGAACCGGACTGAGTGGCAGGAAGAGGGAGAGATAGTTCAAAAGCAGCGAGGAGTTGCCAGACCTGACCCAGCAAGAGCCTGAGCCCTTCAGGCCTGATCAGCTCAGGCGTCAGTGGTGAGGCAGGCAAGCAGCCATGCTTGGGAGGTGCATTTTCTGCACTGGGAGAGACCCAGCATCAGAGAGTCTACACAGCCACCCAGAACCAGTAAGAAGCAGCCCTCAATGAAAGATAAGTACTTGCGTATGGCCTACCACGTGGATCAAAAACACCCCCTTCAGGGAAAAAAGTCTCCCCCATTTACCACCCTGCTCCCTGCTCTGCACTGTGTCCCAGACCAGCTGCAGTAATTGCTGAGTCACCTGGGCTAGAAGTAGGATCTGTCACATGCCTGGAGCCATTCTCCCTGTCTTGGAGAGTGAACAAATTAACAAACAGGAGAGAAAATATGCTGCCAGCTCCCCTAAGCTGGAACCCAGGGTAGGCAAAGCTCCTTTGCCTAGGCACAGGCATAAGGGATCCGCAGACTCTGAGTGCCTTTCCTCCTGCATAAACTTGTGTGGGCCCATCTCAACAGCATAGGCCTTTATTACCACAGTACAACAGGGTATATACCAGAACTCTAACTTCAACTGTTTCAGCTGTGGAGAGGCAGGTTCTTGACATTTGACACTGCTCTGCCCATTAAGCAGGGTCTTCACCTACCCACATCAGGGGCCTGAGGACTGGTGGCTCCACCCACGCCACCTAGCCACCTGTGATAGGGGCCCATGAATAAGAGGTACCCCCAGTCCTTACAGCCAATAGCATTAGGTGCTCATAGTCTGGCTGCAAAACCCACCCACCTACCCACTGTAGGGAACAGTGACGCGCCTTCCTCCTGGACACTCGGGGGTAGCCATCACCCCCTTGCCTTGCTCAGAGTGTGTCCCCCTGCTGCAGCCAGATGCCTGTGCCTACACCAATCACCCATGCCTGTCTAGGACTGTAAGTGAGAGCCTACACCACACACTTGGTGGCTATCTACCTGGGCACCTGAGCTGAATCCATACAGGAGGAGTGGGCAGACTCCTGAGCTCACATACCTAGTAGCAGATCTAACCACCTGGTGACAGGACATTAGAGCTTCAAAGATGCCAATAATCAAACTAGCTCATATGAGCAGCCTATATGGGCATATCAAAACAAAACAAGAAGCTAGAACACAGTAAGCAAACATATAAAGAAATAAATATAATAACTTATTGATGGCTTGGAGACAACAGTCAATATCAAATCACATAAAGAAGCAATCCCGGCTGGCTTCAGCAAGCTCCCAAAATAAACTAGAAATTTTCCAGAGGAGGAAAATTTCTTGGAATTACCGGAGGCAGAATACAAAAGATTAATATACAGAACTCTTCAAGAAATCAGGAAGGAAATTAAGCAAAATGCATAACACACAATAGAGGAAATTAAAAAGATTAGAGAAGAGCATAATGACAAATTTAACAAGCTGGAGGAATCCATAGAGAGAGAGCAATCAGATATCCAGAAGATTAACAATAAAATTTCAGTATTAGACAACTCAATAAAAGTCGTAGGAGCAGAATTGAGGCAATGGAAGTCATGATTAGTGAGATTGAAGATAAAGGACTTGACACCAACTTATTTGAGGAAAAATCAGATAAAAGGATTTTAAAATATGAAGAAACCCTAAGAATTATGCGGTACTCTATCAAGAGGAATAACCTACAAATGATTGGAG